TTTGTTTTCATTCCCGTGATATAAAAATAATTATTTTATGATGAAAAATGACAGAAATATCAGAATTACAATGGAGACCTCCAAGATGTCCGTTCGCTTTAGGGATATCGACTCTAAATATAGTCCATGTTGAAAATAAATGCATATTATCGTAAAACCAATCTTTGGCATCAGCTTCTAAACATGAAGGTATAAAAAATAATTTTTCTTCATCCGATAATTTGAACATATGCAATGATTGCTGAATTTCTCGTAACCATTTAGATACATTTTGTTTTAATTTACCTGTGAATTTCGGTAATTTTTCAAGACTATTTATTAACATTTGGTTTCGAAGAGAATCCAAAACAATTTTTTTAGAATCAGTAGATTGGAATTGTTGCATTTGTGTAGAAGGTGAAATAAAAGTTGTTGATAATTTTTCATTTAGGTCTTGATGACCGTAATATTGCAGAAATTTTTTTGTAAAGGAAATAAATGTTGGCATATGATCTTGTTGTTTAGCATACCAAATAAATGCATCACCAATCAATACATTAGGAATTAATTCATATCGTTCACTAAATGTAATTTGTAATGAATCGAATCTGTCAATAAGGTTTTTTAACCAATGTTCCGCATTTCCCGAACCATCAAATTTCGGTAATGAACGATATTCTGATTGAAAAAGTAAAGAGTTTTGTTTATCACTTTGAATTAAATGCTGATCATGTGGATCATGACCAAGCATATAATCGGATTGATCATTTAATTTTTGATCAACCTTGGTCATATCATTTTTAGATTGTGTAGAGGCCACATTAAGATTCTCAATGTTATCCGATGTGGATGTCATTGATTTTTCTTTGTTTATTGGTAAAATAAAAGAGTTAATAGACATTTGTGTAAGATCTTTTGTAGAACGAGTAGATTTAATGTTCATGAATGTGTTGTGCTCACTTGATGTTTGATTTTTTTTTTTCTTTTCTGCCACGCGGGATTTTTTTTTTATTTTTTTTTTAATAACACCGGCTAATGCACCATTGTTAGGATCCGTTCCCTTTTCTTTATTTTTTAAATAATAGAAAAAAAAAACGGGAACCCAAAACTATATAACTAGTAACAAAAAAACTACCGCTGTCCAAAAAAACAAAAACAAAACCGGTGTTGCGTTGATGATTAATTCTATATGTGTTTTTTCATATTATATATCATATAATGTATGAGGAGGGAGGATCGTCCATCTATATTGTATAGATGGCAGATCCTAACAGCTTATATTACCCGATCATTAGTGTTATGAGAGCAACTTTTCTCGATTTTTCTTTCTGTTCTCAGAAAAAATTTGCTGTTCTCGCCCGTATATTCTCTTTCTCGGAAAAAAATTGTTATTCTTGTTCTTACACTCTCATTTCCAGAAAAAAATTTATTTTCACTTCCATAAGTAGAAGCGTAAACCAGTTCATAGATCGGCGGTGTGAAAGTGTAATTTTATTTTTTTCTTCTTTCAGCAGCGACTGAAAGTACACAACTTTTTTTGTTTGTCGGTGGAGACGAATGAATTTGTTGGACGATTTCTTTAAGGGTTTCTTATTTCCGAGAAACTGACGGATGGAAAAAGAGAAAACAATGATAGAGAACACACTGATAAAAAAAACCTAGACAGAAACATCGTTGACAAGTGATCTCAGGCATCGAAAAATCTTCAAAACTGTTAATTTTTTGTCCCAACGACAGTTGCGACTCAATTGGTCGATTTACACTTCTAATCGTAAGACTTCTGGAATTCATATTCCAGTTTTATTTTTAGATTTTAGGATAATCGTGACACGACTTCAAATTAAAAATATAATTATGATTGAAGCTACAGTAGGTTAGCTACGTAAAAATAAAAAGCTGTTACATACATGTATCTGAATATGTATGCAAATACGAGAAAAAATACAGGAACACCAATACTTAATGAATTTCCCATTGTCATAAAAAATGGAGCGAGAAAACGACGAGCATGGAAAAATATTCTCGCAGAACAAAATCTTTTCAACACAGTAAAAGCATTGATAATGTAATGTCGTTTTTGTGAACATTGCTGCTTGGATATTACTGTTTTTTTCAGCAAAGCAGATGGAAAACAATTCTTGCTAGAGTTGAAAGTCAATGAAGGTAATTACCGACATGTTTTCTTAAATGCATGTTTTTTTGACAAATAAGTTGCACATTGTTTTCTTATCTCTATCAGCGTCATAAATTACAAATGCGAGTTCAGAATGAGAAATACTAGCTTTGTTTCATTAAGATGGCATGAAAAAAATTGGCTTACTCCATATTTTTAATTTTCTGAGGCGAATCTTCGAAAAAATTGCTGAGGATACCCTAGATCCAAAACGTTCCGCCACCTATAAACACGGCCATATTTTTCTGAAGACTGAGTTTGTTTCAATAGGTTTGAATTATTTAAAGGATGATTATAAAACTATGTACAACTGAGACTATTATTCATTTTAGTTCCTAATTCTGCGCCAATATGATTGCACTTCAAATCGTTTCTATTATTAGCTCACAAAATTTTCATATGACTGAAGATCAATTCGCACATAGCATTCTAGGTTGATACAGAAAAAGCGAACTAAACTAGTTTTGTAAAGGAGATACATTTTAATCATCAAGGAGATAAACTGACAAATAAACGCATGTTATAAGGCATAGCAAGCAGAAACGACTGCTTTCTCATTGTCTATTGCATCTATGAAATGGTGTGATAGTTCTCTTTTTTTTGTCTTATTGATTCAAAATATCACTACAATTGAACGTGACAAAATCCTTTGAAAAACCAGGAGAAAGCAGGAGAAAATCATAAAAACCAGCTTCTGGATCCAGGAGATTTTTTTGCTAGGAGAAAAGTCTAAAAACCAGGAGTCTTTTGGCTACATCAGGAGATTTGGCAGCCCTGTATGGCACTAATCAAATAAAGAAAAGAAAGGGAACAAATTATTTCATACTGCTTCTCTCATAAGGTACTGGACAACTATCTGGATGATAAAAACGTCAAAGAAACATACAATAATCTCCTTTTCTGCTCAGAATAATAAACGCCTCCTATAAAAGCGTAGAATGAAGTACCTTTGTAGATGGAATAATAAGCCCTTTTGTTGAAGTCTTACATCAACTTATCCTATTATCGAAATCATGAAATATTTCGTACTTATGCATAGAATAATGATTGGTTCTGATGAAAGTGTAGAATAATATAATCTTGCACTTAGAATAAGAATACCTTCTTAATCTGTACAAGGTGCGTAAAAATGTTTTTCCAGGGGGGTTACACAATAATTTCAAATAGCATACATAGCTAGTTTTATACCAAATTAAAGCACATCGAAAATGGGATTTTTTTATATTAAATTGTAAGAGCTATCAAAACTTTTTGATATCGAACTTAAGAAATTTTATGCTTTTTTTGGATAGAAACTAAGGCGTCAGTGATTCAAAAATGGATTTTAGTATTTTCTTTCAATATTTTTACCTGATTCGATAGAGCTCGTCGAGCTCTACAAAACAGTATATATTAAAAAATTTTTAAGGTCACTTTCTAAGATAAAAAAATTAAAAAAGTACTTGGAAAATGCTAAAAATTATTAAAAAAACTCTTTTTTTCATTTGAGACAAATACTCGATTTTTCAATAAATACAGCATTTTTCATTATTTTCATTAAGAGAGACGTTTTGAAATGTAACCACCAGATACAACGTGAAACACTGCGTCTAGTGATTACATTTGGAAACGTCTCTGTTAGCGAAAATAGTGAAAAAAAACCTATTTTTATTGAAAAACCAAGTATTAGTCTCTCGAATGAAAAAAATGAGTTTTTTTTAATAATTTTTAGCATTTTCCAAGTACTTTTTTAATTTTTTTATCTTAGAAAACGACCTTAAAAAATTTTTAATATATACTGTTTTGTAGAGCTCGACGAGCTCTATCGAATTAGGTAAAAATATTGAAAGAAAATACTAAAATCCATTTTTGAATCACTGACGCCTTAGTTTCTATCCAAAAAAAACATAAAATTTCTTAAGTTCGACATCAAAAAGTATTGACAACTCTTACAATTTAGTATAAAAAAATCCCATTTTCGACGTGCTTTAATTTAGTATAAAATTAGCTATGTATGCTATTTGAAATTATCGTGTTACCCCCCTGGAAAAACATTTTTACGCACCCTGTATATTTTAACATGAAACTAAATAGAAGACCACTCTCTTTTCTTTTTTTTTCTTGTGCAAGAGATCATACATAATTGTCATCTGCCCTGCATTAGCTATTGTTTGAATCATTTATTGTATAGTCTGATGTTTCTCGTTAAAACAATCAACACAAAACAATTTGTTACAATCAGAACAGAAAGTTTTTATTTTCTTTCCTATCGCATGGCTCCCTTCTCTTGCTAACTGTTGACTGATTTTCTCATAGCAACCAGCACAGTGTTTTCGAACGTTCCATGCAGATCCTTCCATATTGGAAAAATCCTGGTTACCAATTATGGATATTTCCAATGCATCTAAATATCCTAGAATTCTCTATCTAGACATGTATCCCCCAAAATTTCGGTCTTTTTCATATAAATGAAAAGAAAGTGTGAAAAAATACTACAAAAAGAATACAAAAGAAAAACATTGAAAAATTGCTTCTCTATTTCGTTCCTACTGTACAATACATGTAACACAGAAAATAACAGATTTGAGTAACTATCCTGCTCGATGTGATAAAAGCCCTCCTATGCGATGATACAAACAAGAAAAACAAAAAACGAACGGTTGCACATGCTGAAAAGATCAATGAGCGCATTTATCGAGCATGGATACGCATGAAAATAAATATGTTTAATATATTTTCTGAAAAAATCGAATAGTCTCGAATGGGTTAAGATAAGAATGCATTATCTCTCTAAACCCATACCCATATCCAACACCCACACTCAACATGAACAAGAAATAGTTTGTGTCATTCAAATCATTACTGCTATACCACCTGTCAGTGCAAATCTTAACATTAATGCTTACCTTACACTTTAAACTTGTGTTGTAAAGAAACATACGTATGTGCTTATTCGTTTATAAAAACCTCTCAAAAGTATGTAATATCGTTTTCATACGCATGATATTTCTATCATGCTTCAATAAACAAGACAAAAACAAATATTCTTAAATACTCTAGAGATCTGTAACTTTTTAACTAAAATATGCTTTGAGGCTATATTTCATTCATTACTACTGTTTACCTGAAGACTTTCTGTTTTATTGATTTAGTAGCACTCCTATTACAAAAATCTTTGATCGACTCACTTTTTATGCATTTTTAATTCTTCTTGATATTATATGGCAAAAACTAGTAATAACATGCATAAATACTACGCAAAATATATCATGGACTACACAGTAGTCAAGTCTTTGTATATGTGCAACAGTGATTACTCATACAGAAACGAAAAGAAAAATATTTCTAACCTATGGGTTATTTAGTTTCATTAATAATTCTAAACAGTTTTTGCGCACTCACAATACATTTCTGAGGTCTTTTATAAAAGTTGTTTATTTTCAAACATTTGGCCTTGAATTAAGCACATAATTGGATAGCCACCCTCGCTATTCTTAAAATATATAATATATTCTACATGAAAGACATTTGACAACCTCTATAATGAATGCATCAAAGTTTAATATATTTGTTGATATACACGAGCAAACTGTAAGATACATTCATGATTCAGGTGATTTCGATCGTACATAAAAAACAAGTAACGCTCGTCTGTGCGACTCGCTTGACCCTCGACTGCATATTCTGCTCTTTCCTTTTTTTCT